TATTTAAAAAAATAAAACGGACAGTGAGGATTAAAATAATATAATTGGTTGATAGCACTTTGCTATCAACACACATAATCTCATTTAATCCGCACAATAATGCTGTGAGATAGATCTTTCATTCAACTCAGGCAATATTTGTTGAGCGCCTACTACCCTGTGTCCCCGAAAATAAGACAGTGTCTTATATTAATTTTTTCTCCCAAAGTTGCACTAGATCTTATTTTCAGGGGATATCTTATCTTTCCATGCGCTAGGTCTTATTTTCGGAGGATTTCTTATTTTCGGGGAAACACTGGTATGTTGTAGGCAGTTTTAGCCGCAGTGATGCCTCATGGAGCTTACATAATAAAAAGAGAAGTTTAAAAATATGAGCACTAAATAAGGTCATTTCAAACTGTGATAAATGTTATAATAAAAATAAAACAGCCTTGGCTGGGTAGTTCAGTTGGTTGGAGTGTCATCACAATACACCAAGGTTGTGATTCAATCCCTGGTGGACACATACAAGAATTAACCAGTCCTGGCCTGTTTGGCTCAATGGATAGCGCGTTGGCCTGCTGACTGAAGGGCCCCGGGTTCAATTCTGGTCAAGGGCATATGCCTGGGTTGCGGGCTCAATCCACACTAGGGAGGGGGGCCATGCAAGAGGCAACCAATCTATGATTCATCATCCCTTCTTGCTCTTCCTCTCCATTCTCTCTGAAATCAATAAAGATGTTAAAAAAAAAAAAAAATCAACCAGTGAGTGCATAAATATGTGGTACAACAAATGGATGTTTCTCCCTCTCAAAAATAAAAAATAAAAAAGCTAAGGAAAATCATTTAGATCAGCGATTTTCAAACCTTTTCATCTCCTGGCAGGCATAAATTCATTACTAAAATTCTGCAATGTCCGGCTAGTGTTGCTCAGTGGTTGAGCATTGACCCATGTCCCAGGAGGTTGCAGGTTCAATTCCAGGTCAGTGCATACGCCTGGGTTGAAGGCTCATTCTCCAACAGGGGGTGTGCAGGAGGCAACGGATGGATATTGATGTTTCTCATTCTTGTTTCTCCCTCTTCCTTCCTATGTCTCTAATAATAAAAACTTTTTTTAAAAAAATTATGTGGCACACCAAAAATACATTTTTTGCTGATCTGACAAAAAAAAAGGTGTAATTTTGATTCATTCACACTGGATGGCTATTGTCATGATTTTATTTGACAAAAGGAAAAGAGGTCAGTGTCCCTGACTAAATAGTCACGTATTGCGTGTTTAAAAAGTCTTGCTTGCAGCATACCAGCATGCCACTGCTGATTTAGGTTATTACCTGGATACAGATTACATAAATACACGATATAGAGGTATTAAAGTATTTACTCATTACTCTCTGATTTTTATGGTAGCATTTTTCCTGGGCTGCTTTTCTATGGGCATTGTACAATAGAATGCTGCTTTTTAGATAAAGGACCTCAGAATTTCTAGGCCTTTTAGATATTCTTAAATTGTTAGTGGGGATTTCATCCAACTTGGAGGCAGTCTGAAAGATGTGGATTTTGAGCCTCAGACCCCATTCCCTGGAGCTGGCAGTCTCCACTTGTAGAACTATTTTTAAGGAAGGCAAACCCAGCCTGTAAAACCCAGAAAGATGCCATCCCTGAGTAAATAACCAACTGAACATGTTTGAAGGATGTGAAAGATGAATATAGAATTCAGAAAATGAGCCCATTGAGAACAGTGGCTACAGCTGTGCAGAACACACTGCTCAGATGGAGTTTCATAGTCTCCACAGCAGAACACAAGATTCCCTTTACCAAGGCCATGAATCTTCCCTAATAACTGCTGCTTAAACACACACCCAGAGCACCTACTGAATGCCGGTAAAATAGTATGACATGAATAAGCGGCACAAGAAATCTGTCAAGGAGGAGGAAACAATGTCGGTGAATTGAACGACCTGGAGCCACGGTTAGCGCAGGTAGAATTGAGCGTTGGAGTTCAGGTTGTTACTGATGCCCCAACCCTGTGTCCTGTGCACCCATCATCCAACCAACCAATCTCACATGCAGCTACTTGGTAAGATGGAGGAGTGGCAGAGCCAGGCCAGGAGAGGCCCACGGGGAAGCCCTCCACACCAGTATTCCTCACTCAACACGCTGTCCAGCCCACAGAATCTCAATCATGCCGTGAAAGCTGAGGGCTTCCTTTCTATTAAGGACAAGATGGTTGGTGGCTTTTTCTCACTTATCTCAGTTTTTTAAATGAGATTTACATAGCTAGGGTGAACTGCTAGCAGGGTCGCCTACGACCATTGGAAAACACATATTTACATTACGATACATAACAGTAGCAAAATTACAGTTATGAAGTAGCAACGAAAATAATTCTATGGTTGGGGGTCACCGCAACATGAGGAACTGTATTAAAGGGTCGAGGTATTAGAAAGGTTGAGAACCACTGGCCTAACCGGTTTGGCTCAGTGAATAGAGTGGATAGCCAAATGGTTTTCCCTGCCAGCCAAATGGATTGCTCTTCTCAAAAATTAAAATAAGCAGCCCATATTTGTTGCAAACACTCAGAAGTGTGTACAGCGGAAGGTAAGAGCTTCCTGCCCGTCTTTACTCTCTAGCGTAGCCGCAGACATGCCTTCCCAGCTGAATGAGATCTGTCTTAATTCCTCCCACGGGGGGCCCTCTATAGTGCTGGCAAAAGAGCTGGGGAGTTCTCAGGTTTTCAGTCAATACTCTGGGCTAGCCTTAAATGTACTAATAATTAGTTAAGTTTTCAACAAACCTTCACAGAATGTCACCTGTGTGCTAGGTGGTGTTGATCCAAGATGGACAAAACATCCTCTGACCTAGGGGCTGGACAACCTTGTGTAAACTGAGGATTATAGTGGTAATCCCCTAATGAACACATTCAAAGGACCATTTTTAAGAAGTGGTTAAAGTTGTCTTTTTAATCAGAAAGACGCACATAATAAACTGACCAGAGAAGTCGGAGTTCTTGGCAGTTAAGCCAAACTCAGGCCGACATGGATGCAGTGGAAGGGCAGAGTGAATGCTCTCCAGAAGCCCTAGCAGCGTGAATTGTTTCTTTTCATTCTAGTTGGTGAGACCTCCCTGGCCATGTGCAAATGTTCCACAACATCCCAGTATATGCCAGGTCAGTCAGTCAGCAATTCTGCTTCAAGAATTTGCTTGTTTTCCATTGCATAAATGCTACATTCTCAACATGGGAGGAATTTAAAATGTAAAAGTATTTGCTGTGTAAAGGAGGGAGACTCTATGGCAGGGACTAGACCTGCTCCCCTCACACCCAGTTTGATGCCTTTTCCATCACATCCCGTGACTGAGTTCAGCACCAAGCGAGTGGTCATTAATCTTGTATGGATTTATCCAAGACTGATGATCCCAACTGGATTGTGCCAGCAGCAGAGATTTAATGTTGGACAGGCCCGTCGCTGCATTTGATAAGCAAACAGCCCAGTGACAAGACAGAAAAACAGGAAATGTATCTACACATTGAAAAGGGCCAATTTCAGAGGGAGAGGCACTTAGCAGAGGGTGGAGCACAGGAGGGAGGGCTCCTCAGCATAGTGAGTGTGTGAAAGTGCCTTTGAAGAAACATGCCAAGTTTCCTTTTCCAGATTAAGGAACTAGAAGACTCTGCCCCCCCCCCCCCCCCCCCCCCACACACACACTGAGAGGACAGGTACATTGCCAAGTTACTCCTGGGGATCTAACCTTGTCTAAGCAAATAAGTGTGATCATTGCTGGTATTTTTTCAGTTGAATTTATTGGGGTGACATTGGTTAACAAAACCCTACAGTTTTCAAGCCTGCAACTCAAACATCGGCACACTGCACTGTGTGCCCCAAGTAGTCTCTTTCTGTCCCATTTATTTCCCCTTTGCCCTCTTCCACATTCCCCTACCCCGCAATGTTGGTATTTTAAATGTTTTCAACTGTTTAGTTCTTTTTATTTTTAAAATATTTTTATTGATTTCAGAGAGGCAGGGAAAGGGAGATAGAAATATCAATGATGAGAGAGAATCATTGATTGGCTGCTTCCTATATACCCCCCACTGGGGATCAAGCCCACAACCCCGGCATGTGCCCTTGAGTGGAATAGAACTTGGGACCCTTCAGTCTGCAGGCTGATGCACAGTCTACTGAGCCAAACCAGCCAGGGCATTTAGTTCTTTTTAGTATTAATAATAGTAACAATAAAATTTAGTATTAGGATAAGATGGTGTCTTGGGTTGGTCTGATTCAGGCCCTACTGCTTCAGAGGAAACAACCCCATTCATTTATTCGTTCTTCCTTCGTTCCATTCATTCATTCGTTCATTCATTCATTCATTCATTCATTCATTCATTCATTCATTCATTATTTGGTGCCTATGGTACCAGACAGGATTTGGGAGGAAATGGAGACACAGGCTATTAAGCTGCTTAATTTTTCACAAATCCCTTTTTCTCTGGGCCTCCATTGCTCACCTATTCAGAGATGTGTGTTCACAGTGGACTATTTAGATTCAAATTCCGGCTTCACCCCATGAAAATTAATTTGGTCTCCGTGAGCCTCCATGTCCTCATTGGAAGAGTGGGGATGATATAACAAAAGTTTCAGCGTGCTGCAATGAAGGTGAAATTAAGGTAGGACCCAAGCTAGGGTGGTCGCAATCTTAATCCCTGCTGAATCCCTGAGCGGCGGACCCGCTCGGGAACCACCGACAGGTGTTAATCAGGGCGTGGCTCAGCCCCCCACCCGGATTAGGTTAGGATTTATGAAGCCCGAGTCTGGGCTGTGGCCTCGTTCCGCCTTAGCGAGGCAGAGACACGCCTGCCGGGCCTGGGCTCGCACACCGCGGGCTGGAGCGCGATGCCCGGAGCGGCCGGCCCCGGCAGCCCGGGTCTCGGGGCGCGCGGCCGCGGGGCGCGCACGGGGGCCGGGCCCGCGGGGCCTGGGGGCGGGGCCTGCGGCCGCCCGGCTCCCCGCGCCTCCCCGCCCCGCCGAGGCCCGGAAGGGGCAGTAGCGCTTCCGTCTCCGCCGGGGAGGCACGGAGGGCGGAGCTGCGGCCCGAGGACGCGACGCGAGCCCAGTTCCGGCGAGGAGGCCGCGCCAGTGACAGCGATGGCGGCGGAGTCGGCGCTCCAAGTTGTGGAGAAGCTGCAGGCGCGGCTGGCCGCGAACCCGGACCCGAAGAAGGTGAGCGAGCGGGCGGCGCGCAGCGGGCGGGCGTTGGGCGGACGCGGCCCCGTAACGGTCGTGGGCCGAGCGCGGCCCCCCAGGTCAGCCGGGGCCGCGGGGCTCGGACCCGGAGCCAGGCCGCGTAGCGCTCGCAGCCGGAGTCGGGAAGTTCCGGCCTTGGCCGCTGCCCACGCGGAGAACCCGCACGTCAGGCGGCGGGGCCGGGGGCCGGGCCTCCTGCCTCCCGGCCGGGCGGCGGCGGCGGCGGGCGGACTCCGCGTGTCCGCGGCTCCCGAGCCGCCCGGTCCCGGGCCAGCTGTTCCCGTCGGGGCGCCGCCGGGTCCACTGCCGCCCCGTGCCCCGCGCCGGTCCCAGGCTCTGGGGTTGGGAGCGGGGGGTCTGCCGGTGCGCGGTGGGTCCGGGCTGGTGTGCGGTCCTGCGGCTCCCAGAGACGCTTTGGTACTGAACTTGGACCTTCTCACTTTGCGAGTAAATCCCTTAAAAAACGGGGCAAAGTAAACCCCACGTCTCCGCTGTGAACGGAGCCTAAAAACTTCGGTTGTGATTGGAAGAAGAAAGAGGTTAGAAGTTGCGGGTAGGTTTCCTTCTGGCCTCACTTCATAGAAAGGCGAGAGCTAACGTTTCTCGTTTTGCAGTGAGAGGTGGGCAACCATTTTTAATTGTAGTCAGCTAGTTCTTTATTTTTTAAGCTTTTCTTAACTTAAATGCATTCTTCTCCCTCTCCGACTTCGTTATCCATCTTATCCGTGTCTGGGAGTGGAGGATGTTAGAATTTTTTAAAATTTAGGTCCACGGATGGAAACACCCCGGTTTGACATTCTGCCAGCATTCTGGCCAGAGTGCGGTTTCCAGGAGCGGGGCTCAGCCCCGGAGCGCCTCAGGAGGCAGTGGTCCAGGAGGTGGAGATGAAGGGGCGATAGATTCTGGTTCTAAACCATTTGCCAGCGAGGACCGGGACCGTCTTTGCTCAGCCTTCCTCACCTGCTGCTTCCTAAGACTGAACCGAAAGGCCGCAGTGCCGGGTTCTGGGAAGAGCCCCGCAGATATTAGTCACCACCCTTCAGTTTCTTTGAAGGCCCCTTTCTCTTCGCCTTGTTCCCGGCTTGTCAGAGGGGAGGGTTTTGGCCTCCATGTGTAAAGGCTGCATACAGCATCTCACCCTCAGGCCACTTTTTAATTCTTTAATTCATACCTAGCTCAAAGATCTGCTTATTTAGGAAGCCATTTTAGTTTTAAATCTGTGAAACTGTAAATGCTTATAATTGCGTTATTTTCTATTGTGGCTTCAATACTTAGTGGCCAGACATATTTACAAGTTTCTTTTTATAGTTACCCTTTTTGGACGTCTGATAAATGTTCAGTGTTTTTTAGTACCAGTTTGTTTTCCCAAACTCTGTAGATTTGGGACTGATCTTTAAAACCTTAAAGCAATATTATGTAAATCCATCTCCCAACCCTAATTTTGGTCTTTCTATCAGGTTAAAAATATGCACCATGTAGTATCTGTAGTCATTCTCCCACTAGAATTTAAGTTTTGAAGTAGCTTTTCTAGGAAATGTGAATCAAGTTTCACATTAGGAAATGGTTTGACTTCTCATCCTATTTGAACTATTAGAGATTATTGCCAGTATTTGGCTTTCTCTTCCCAGTTAGGAAATCACCCTGAACTTCTGGCTTTGTGTTCTGACGTGAACCTTAAGGAGATGAGAAAGCCCTGGCCAGTTTGGCCCGGTGTTGTCGTATGCAACCGAAGGCGGCACATAACCCAAGTTGCTCTTTGATCCCTAGTTGGGGCGTATGTGGGAGGCAACCTGTGGATATGAGGTTGTTTCTCTCACATCAATGTTTCTCTTTCTGTCTCCTCCCATTCTTCCCTTCTCCTCCTCCATCTCTCTAAGATAAATTTTTAAAAATTAAAAATAAAAGATGAGAGCCGAAACCAGTTTGGCTCAGTGGATAGAGCGTCAGCCTGAGGACTGAAAGGTCCCGGGTTCGATTCTGGTCAAGGGCATGTACATTGGTTGCAGGCACATAACCAGTAGAGAGAGTGCAAGAGGCAGCTGATAGATGATTCTCTCTCATTGATGTTTCTAACTATCCTTCTCTCTTCACTCCGTAAAAAAACAATAAAATATATTTTTAAAAAAATAAAAGATAAGAAAATGTTGGGAGATCATTTTTGCAAAGGGCACGTTAGCTAGCATTCAGCAATGAGCTAACTGTAGGGTAAAACTGCAAGCTGGCACAATGGCCTTTTCCTCAACCTTCTGTTAACCCAACAAGCTCCCACAGGTTGATCTTGAAATTGCAAGATGAGCTGAAACTGGTTTGGCTCAGTGGATAGAGCGTCGGTCTGCGGGCTGAAAGGTCCCAGGTTCGATTCTGGTCAAGGGCATGTACATTGGTTGCGGGCACATCCCCGATGGGGAGTGTGCAGAAGGCAGCTGATTGATGTTTCTCTCTCTTCGATATTTCTAGTTCTCTATTCCTCTCCCTTCCTCTCTATAAAAAATCAATAATATATATATTTATATATATATTTTTTTAAAATTGCAAGATGATTATATAGCCGTAACGAATTCGCAACTAAATCCTGACTTCAAAACCATTATTATGCTGAAACCGGTTTGGCTCAGCGGTAGAGCGTCGGTCTGCGGACTGAAAGGTCCCAGGTTTGATTCTGGCCAAGGGCATGTACATTGGTTTCGGGCACCTCCCCCGTAGGAGGTGTGCTAGAGGCAGCTGGTTGCATGTGGAAATATGGCTGCTCCTCCTTCCTTTGGGAGCAGGAATGCCTCCATAACATGCTACATGAAAGGAGTTCTCAGGCTGCCAGCCTTACAGGAGAGGTTGAGTAGTAGTATATTTCTCCTACATCAAAAAAAAAAAAAAAAAAAAAAAAAAAAAAAAGAGGCAGCTGGTAGATGTTTCTCTGTCATCGATGTTTCTAGCTCTCTATCTCTCTCCCTTCCTCTCTGTAAGAAAATCAATAAAATATATATTTTTTAAAAACCATTATTACCCAAAGGGCGGATTCCATGCATATGTTCCTGGATTTTCTGGTATTAATATTGGTGTTTAACTGTATTTTCACTTTTTAAAAAAGTTTTTGTTTTTTTAAATATATTTTCATTGATTTCAGAGAGGAAGAGAGAGATAGAAACATCAATGATGAGAGAGAATCATTGATCGGCTACCTCCTGCATGCCCCCCACTGGGGATCAACCCCAACGTGTGCCCTTGACTGGAATTCTCTCAGGAATTCTCTCAGGAACCTGGGATCCTTCAGTCTGCAGGCCAACACTCTATCCACTGAGCAAACCAGCCAGGGCTATTTTCACTTTTGAGGCCATCTATGGTCAAGGTTTACTTGGTGCAAAGGTGTCAGGCAGAGAACAGGATCACTTAATTCCTACTATTTTATGGAACATAATTTTTATGGCTGGTAAAGTTACCTGTTCATTGTTTCATTTTGAACGTGAGACTACCCAGAACACAGTCTGATGGTCAGTGGAGACTTAAGGAGTCAACTTTATGAACCTTTGGGTTTGAAGGGAGTGTGCAGAGGACAACTGAAATTCCTAAGCATGGATTGTGCAAATGTTTGACATTTCTCAGTTCTCAGTGATCTGTTATCAGTTCTTGCAAACTCTACAATGGCCTGTTGGCTTAATAACAAGTTTCCATCTATCCGAGGATGCCCGAGTGCTTTTACCTTGTTAGTGCTTTGTGTGTGTTTTTTCTTGAACCTCATTGGCAGTAGAGGGCTCTGCAGTTCCTTTTCTCTTACTATGGAGCTAAATCATTTTTAAAATCTCCAGGACTTTAGCTTTGTCTGCTTTTAAGTCGCCCTTACCAGCCCAAAGGAAATCAGATAGCATTCACTCCCTCCCGTTAGTGCTGGGCTTGGGATGGAACACACCCTCAGTGACTTCTGACCCATCCTGACGCTGCTCTCAGAGGTCCTGAGGCTCCTTTGTTCCAGGTGCCCTTCCGCTGTGGACTCTGGACTGTCTGACAGAGTGATCCTGTAGGAGGAGCTTTTTGCTTCGGGGTAGCTAAGCTCTGCTTTCTAAGGACAGTGTTGTTTTGGATGTTCCTCCTGGCTTTTGGCACATGCTGTGGTAGGTGTTCTCGATTACTAGCTCATTAGGTAAGTCTCCACATCTACAAAAGGAGAAGAATAGCACCCACTTTATAGAGGTGGTTAATGAAGATGGAGTAAATGAGTTGACAGATGTAAGAATTTAACACAATCTTCTAGACACAGTAGATGGTATATAAGTGCCTCCCTGGGGTGGTATTAGGGGAGACAGCCTATTTCTAACCTTTTCAATGCTTCTAAGTTTCCTTTAAGGAAAGGAATTGTCATTCATCTTTGTACTCAAAGCTTTGATGGCAAGAAATGCACATAAACTTTCTCCTAAGTTGGATGTTGGTGGTGATCAGATTTGAAGTGGAGTATAATTTTCACTCAACTATGAAGGTGAAACTCCCTATCTACCACTTGCTTCTCATTTGTTTCTCATCACAGTGTTATTACTTGTGATCCAGTTGCTCTGCCTACTGACCATGTTCAGTAGTTACTGAGGTAGAGTGACTAGAGAAACATACTTGCTGCTCCACCTATAGCATTGTGACATACTTACCGAGTCCTCGACTGCACGTGGAAAAAGAAGAGATTGTCTTCTCTACTATGTAAATGTAAAGGTAGTCACGGTCTACTTTAAACTACTTGTACTTTGCAGTTTCTTTTTTTAAAAAAAAATTTTATTGATTTTTTACAGAGAGGAAGAGAGAGGGATAGGGAGTTAGAAACATCGATTGAGAGAGAAACAGATCAGCTGCCTCCTGCACACCCTCTACTGCCTCCTATATAAATTTTAAAAATGATTTAGCTCCATTAGTGAGAGAAAAGGAACTTCAGAGCCCTCTTTTGCCAATGAGGTTCAAGAAAAAACACACACAAAGCACTAACAAGGTAAAAGCACTCGGGCATCCTTGGATAGATGGAAACTTGTTATTAAGCCAACCAGGGTACATGCCCTTGACCGGAATTGAACCTGGGACCCTTCAGTCCGCAGGCCGAACTCTATTCACTGAGACAAACCGGTTTTGGCTGCAGCTTCTTGAATGGTAGTATGTTTACATGTACATATATTTTTTCTAGAGAAGGACATGACTAGTCATGACTTTTGGTGGAAATAGAACAAGTAGAACTTTGGATTGGCTGGGGACTATCTGGTTGAGGTCAAAGGTAGGCATTTAAAGTTCTGTTGGAGCCCTAGCTGGTTTTGCTCAGTGGTCTAGCGTCAGCCCTTGGACTGGAGGAGGGTCACAGGTTCGATTCTAGTCAAGGATATGTACCTCGGTTGCAGCCCCCAGTTGATGTATGTCTCTCACATTGATGTTCCTCTCTGTCTCTACCCCTCTCTCTAAAAATTAATGGAAAAAATATCCTTGGGTGAGGATTAACAAAAAAATAAACATGTTTCTTGAATGAAATTATTAATTATAAACACTTATTGAGCTTTTATAGGATTCCATGCATGGTTGTTTGAGTGGAAACAGGACTCAGTTCCTATTTTGTAGGTGGAGTGAATGGGATTCAGAGAGGTTACTGACTTGTACAAGATCGCCTGGCAAAGAGGTGACAGGGCCAAACTGAAGCCTGTCTCTGACTCCGGAACTGTCTTAGCAGCAGTGCCGGCCTGATTCTGACCTAGTTTTAGGGACTACGGGAAGGAAATGTGACCAAACCCAGATCACTTTTCTAGTATACGCATACATTGTGTGTTTACCATTAATGGCAAAGCTCTGATTCTGGCAACTTGAAATTGGTCTTGCCTTCCCATTGTTTCCAAAAAACAGTTCTGTTACACACTGCTGACTGCCCGGAAACTCATACCCTTTCCCTGCGGAGACTTCTGCTCCTTTTTCTTCTCCTCTGTGCCAGGTCCATGGGTAATTTCCCTAAAATCAGTACCTGTGTTAGAAATTCTCTCAAAAGCGGCAAAGTGATAGTTGATAACTTTTCTTAGAGTTGGTTTAATTCTCTTTAAGTCTCATTTCCTGTTGGTGTAGCAAGTGCTTAAAAGCCGGGAACCTAAGTCACAGACCTGCGGGAATCTCGCCCTACTTGCGTCCTAGGGCAAGTAACTTACCTTATTTGTTCCAGTGAATGTTTATAGGAATTAATGTTTATTTTATTCTCTGCAGCTCTTAAAATATTTGAGGAAACTCTCCGCCTTGCCTATTACAGTAGATATTCTTGTGGTAAGAATTGTATATCTTTTAATCTTATATAAAACTATATCCTCTTTGTACAGTAAGACGAAGAGCATGGGCTTTGGAAGTGAAGAGAAGGAAACATAAGATCATGTATTGTATGATCCCATTTATATGAAATGTCCAGAATAGGCAGGTCAGAGGCAGTAAGGAGGTTAGTGGTTGCTAGGGGTTGGGGGCGATTGGGAGCAGCAGGGTTTCTTTCTAGGGTGACAAATGTTCTGGAAGTAGTGGTGGTGGTTGCAAAGTATTGTAAATATTCTGTAAACCACTGAACTATACACGTTAAAAAGGTTAAAATGGTGGATTTTGTTACAAAAATATTTTTCTAAAAACTGAAAGAATATTGGCTTTGTCATCAACTAGTCCTGAGTTCAAATCTAAGTTCTGTTCCTGTAGCTGTTCTGTGTAACAGTGGGCAGATTCCTGTCTCACAGAGTTGTTACTGGAGGATTGATTGGGATACTGTATGCAAAGCTGCTAGCTCAGTATCTGGCAGCTGCCAGAATCACTGGTTATTGTAGAAGTGTTTTAATTCAGTATCTCCTCTTCTGACCTGGTATGCTTTGTTTGCTACTGTGTGTCAGAGGTTTGGGGTTAGAAACAAACTAATTTGTACTGAGGCTTGCAAGGTACATTTTAGGAAGGAAGTAACTGGTTTGTTGAAAAGCAAGAGTCTGATTTCTTTGAAAATGGTGAGCCTGTTTCCACAACTCTAACAATTCCTGTGCAATGTGCAGGAGACCGGCGTTGGGAAGACAGTAAATAGCTTACGGAAACACGAGCACGTGGGAAGCTTTGCCAGGGACCTGGTGGCCCAGTGGAAGAAGCTGGTTCCTGTGGAGCGGTAAGAACATCACCTGGTCTGTCAGATTCTGGTTAATCTGGCATTGGGTGTCGTTATTATTCCTCTCTGCCTTCTTATTTAAAGTATTTTGTCTCAAATATTAAAATAATCCATGATTATAGTATTAAAAAGTACTTAAAAATAGAAATAGGGATCAAAATTTCTTAAGTCTACGACCCAAAGATAAGTATTATTAAAAGTTTGATGTTTCTAATGTTTTCTTAAAAGGCTTTTTATGTAGTTGTGAACAAGCTATATATAACATCCCCTATTTGATTCCCAAGTTTTGAGTGTGTGTGTTTGTTAATCCTCACAGAAAGATTTTTTTTCCATTGCTTTTTAAATATTTTTTTAGAGTGGGGGGGTGGGGGAGACATCAGTGCAAGAAAGATCAATTGGTTGCCTCCCACATGAGCCCTGTCTAGGGCCAGGGATCGAACCTGCAACCCAGGGACATGCCCTTGAATAAGAATTGAACCCAAGACTCTTCAGTGCATGGGCTGAGCATGCTGCCAAGGGCATGAGTCCCCAATTTTAAAACTTAGACTATTTCTAACTCTTGCCTTCTCTGTAGCTCTTTGTGAGTTCAGGGTCCATGACTGTGTCCTGAACAAGGATAACGCTGAGATTTTTAACTGCTTTATCTGTGTATCCTTCTGTTTAGAAACACTGAGCCTGATGAACAGGACTGTGAGAAGAATGATTCCCGAAAGCGCCCCAGGGACGCCCTTCAGAAGGAGGAGGAAGAGGAGGTAGAGGCAGACTATCAAGAAAACTGGAAAGCCTCCAGTAGCCAACAATACAGTCCTGATCACAGACAGAAAAAACACAGGAAACTCTCGGAGTTCGAAAGACCTCTCAAAGTGGCTCACAGTCAGGAGCGAAAGAGGGGCCACAGGGCTTCCCCAGTTTACTCTTCAGACCATGAATCTTCCGATTATGGCCACGTTCAGTCCCCTCCATCGTCCGGCAGTCCTCCTCAGATGTCCGCGGACCATTACAGATCCCCAGACGAGGATCACGAGCCCTTTGTTCCCCAACAGAAGCCTGGAAAGGGCCACAGCAGTGCCTTTCAGGACAGACTCGGGGCCAGCCAGGAAAGACACCTGGGCGAGCCCAGGGGGAAAGGGGTTGTGAGTCAGAACAAGGAGCACAAATCTCCCCATAAAGAGAAACGTCCCGTGGGTGCCAGGGGAGAGGAGAAGTCGCCTTTGAGCAGAGAAAAATCCCACAAGGCCATCTCCAAAGAGGAAACCCGCAGGCCCCTCTCGGGGGATGGCACAAAGGAGAAAGCGCCCTCTAGTGGTATCAAGAAAGAGAAGGACCGAGAGGGCAGCTCCAAGAAGTTTCTATCCCCCTTGGAGACTGCTTCAGACAACCACCGCAAAAAGCCAAAGCACAAAGACGCAGAGAAAACCAAGTCAGACAAAAACAAGCAGAGTCTAGACAGCTTGGACAGAGGAAAGGGGGCCGGAGACCTGCCGCCCAAGGCAAAAGAGAAGGTTTCTAACAACCTCAAGACTCACGAAGGGAAAGGGAAAACTCCTTCGGACAGGAAGTCAGGGGGCTCCCTCCCTCGAGTTGAGGAGACAGATGTGGATGATGAATTTGAGCAGCCCACCATGTCTTTTGAGTCTTACCTCAGCTATGACCAGCCCCGGAAGAAAAAGAAAAAGGTTGTGAAAGCCTCAACTGCGACTGCTGGGGAAAAAGCACTAAAAAAAAAAGATTCGAAAAGCACTAGTAAAAGCGTGGACGCAGTTCCGAAATCACCTAAGGTGAACGAAAACAAGTCAGAGAGGCACCAGGCGGCTGGAGCCGAAGCAGCCAAGCCGAGAAAGGTAACCTTCCGCCCCTCAGTGGCTCCCCTTCAGAGCGCCTGGCTCTGCGGAGCTCCTCGGACCCACCCGCTGCTGCTGGCTGGGCTGGCTTTTGTGTGGCTGGTAGAATTTCAGTTTGAAGTAATTTCCTCCAGGCCTCTCCCTGCCAGGGGGTGGAGAATACCCAAGACACGTGCTTGCTGAGGTGCCCTGGGTGCTGGGCTCGTCTGTATGTGTTTCCTGACCTGTGTGGTCAGACATGCCTGTGGCCCCTCCCGCCTGGGTCTGCCTGGCCCACTCTGTTGGGATGGACTGAGGAAGGGAAGCTGTGCCTGTAGAACAGGGCATCCGGTCACTGGCCTCTCCTCCGCAGGTCCCCACCGATGTCCTGCCAGTGTTGCCAGACCTCCCATTGCCTGTGATACAGGCCAATTACCGGCCACTTCCTTCCCTCGATTTGATAGCCTCCTTCCAACCAAAGCGAAAAGGTAATTTTCTGTATCTGTTTGTTTTTTAATGGAAGATTTTAAAAATCATGATGTGTCATCAGATTTTGGTGAGTTTCTTAATTAGACAGGCTCTGGAGTTTGATGACTTGGGTTTGAATCCATCTCTGCCTTCTACAATTTACATGAACTTGGGTGGTAACTTAATTTCCTTGGGCTTCAGTTTCATATTCTATAGGTGAGAATAACAACGGTTTGTTCTTAGGGCTGTTAAGTGGATTAAAAGCACTTAGCTAACATGTCTCTTTTTTTAAAAATTGATTGCAGAGAGGAAGAGAAAGGGAGATAGAAACATCAGGGAGAATCATTGATCAACTGCCTATGCACGCCCCCTACTGGGGATTGAGCCTGAAATCCGGGCATGTGTCCTTGACCGGAATCGAACCTGGGACCCTTCAGTCCACAGGCCGACACTCTGTCCACTAAGCCAAATTGCTAGTTTAAAAATCTTTTTTAAAAATGTGGGAAGTCTATGTGCTGACATGGAATGATTTCTAAAATGTGGTAAATAAAAAAAACGATAGTAGTGAGTATGTTATTGGTTAATATTTGCTTATTCTCTGGAGGGACACAAGGAACTGGTAACATTGGTTACTGCTGAGAAAGGGAACTGGGAGGCTGAGGAATGGGGTGGGAAGGAGATAGCTTAGAGCTTTTTGTAACTTATGTTCTGTTTTCCTCGCATTACAGCACACTCTTCCCAGGAAGAGGATGAAGCCGGATTCACTGGACGGAGAATGAATTCTAAGATGCAGGTGTACTCTGGTTCCAAGTGTGCCTATCTCCCCAAAATGATGACCTTGCACCAGCAGTGCATCCGGGTACTTAAAAACAACATTGATTGTAAGTCACATGCTTCTCTCTAGCTCTCAAGCACGTTGTGCCGCTAGGGCCATATCACTGGTGGCTTGGCTATTACTCAGCGCTTTCACCTCTGATTGTCTGCAGCAATCTTTGAAGTGGGAGGCGTTCCGTATTCTCTTCTTGAACCTGTTCTGGAGAGGTGTACGCCTGATCAGCTGTATCGCATAGAGGAATATAATCATGTGAGTATCCTGTTTGGGTGAGAAAAGGGCAGTTTTCTGGCTCATGTCTCTAGAAATAGCATTACCTCTGAATCGGCTGGAGGGTAGGCTACAGGTTGGATCACTGTTCTGGGCCTGTTTGTTTTGCCGATGGGCCTTTGAACAAAATTATTTTCAGCATCTGTCTCTGGCATCTTAAGTGGGCCTCTTGGGTAGAATCTTAGGTGGGATTCAAAGGGAGCAGAAAAGCACTTCCCACACCTCCTTTGAGCTTAGCTGCTCACAGAGGCACAGGGAGAGTTCTGGGATCCAGGCCGGGGACAGAGCTTTGTGCTGACACTCAGGTGTCTGGTGAGTTTTTTAAAGAGCACAGGGGCTGGGTGTGGCCTAGGCACATTGAGATCGATCCAGAAATCCTTTCCCTTTCCTAATGCTGGGACACACTTATCTGATTGTATCCGGACACATTCTCCTCAGATGGCCCCTCGCCATTTCAGTTCAGTGTAGTACTTGGGAAATGCCTGGATTTGACTTCACTCTGGCTTGACCTTTCACTGATGTTTCTAAAGGAAAGTAATGATCTTAGACTAATTTTGTGTTGTCTTATCTCCTAACTCTCCAAAAGCAGCTAGTATAATGTATCACATTTAACTTTAAGTTTGTGATTTGATTTGTTTTTTTTCTAGAGCCATGGTATTTTAATATTTCTATATAGACAAAAAAAATCATTAGGAAACCTAGGTAATTAAGGATGAAAAAGAGATACATAAGAGTGCTTGCATATAAATGATGTCCTGGTTCTGGTTTTAGGTATTAATTGAAGAAACAGATAAATTATGGAAAGTTCATTGTCACCGAGACTTCAAGGAAGAAAGGCCCGAAGAGTATGAGTCATGGCGGGAGATGTACTTGAGGCTTCAGGATGCCCGAGAGCAGCGGCTACAACTATTGACAAAGAATATCCGATCTGCACATGCCAATAAGCCCAAAGGTGGGCGGGGCAGAATAGTGAGCCCTGTGCTCTGGGCCACAGCAGGGTCTTGTAGGCCCCGCTGATGTAGGGCCTCTGGCCCCTAAATCTCTGGTATTTGCACAAGTGGGGCAGAGGTGGGGTTTTTCTACCACTGCTTACGCTACCCTACAAAGCGGTTTTCAGGGTTGGTGAACCCTCAGCCTTGGGAGCACTTAAGCTTTTATCTGGCAATAGTGTACACATTGAAATAACAGTAGCATCTCTGTTCCAGAAGGCAGGTGTTTATTTCCGTATTTCTCCACAGGCCGACAGGCAAAGATGGCCTTTGTCCACTCTGTAGCCAAACCACCTCGTGATGTTCGAAGGAGGCAGGAAAAGTTTGGAACAGGAGGAGCCGCTGTGCCAGAGAAAATCAGGTACCATCTCTGCTGCTCTGGCTTCTGAAAGCTCAGAGAAGAGGGTCCACGAGTTTTTGCTCACCCCGAGAAGGCAGCCCAGGGCAAGAAGCCATTCGTTTTGGGGGGAAAGCATGGGAATGCAGAGTGGGTTCTGGAGCCCCAGCTTCCTCGACTGCAGTGCAGGTTGGACAATTATTGCTGACTCTCAGAGAGGTCAAGGTTAAGTAGAGAACAGGGCCTGACTTCTGGAAACATTCACTTATGCTTTCCTTTTCCCTATTTAAGCAAAAGTGGAGTTTACTGTATGACTAATTTATTTAATACTAGTGGCCCGGTGTGTGGATTCCTGCACATTGAAAGGAAATTAATTAGAAGGTGACCAGCAGGGTGGGCCTGGGCAAGACAGCCAAATATGCCCTGTAGCCAATCTTCTACGGTCCCTCCCTGGCCGTCCATGACACTGGTCACGGTCACTGGTCACCACAGCTCAGCAGTAAACTATATTTGGGGCCAACAGTGCCCCAGCAACAACAACACATTGCCGAAGGTGGAATCGCACGGCCTGATGAGGAATCGGGCGCCCTTCTTTCTGGTTCTGGGGTGCATCACCCGAGAACCACTGCTGCCAAATCACTACAGCTCGGCAGCTCCTGCATTGAGTGTTTGCCCCCTGATGGTCAGCGTACATCATGGCTACTGATCAGATGGTCAAATGGTCAGCTGGTGGCTTAGACTTTTATATATATAAATTTTAAAGAAGAAGGGAGAGGGAGAGAGAGAAACATCAATGAGCCCTGACCAGTTTGGCTCAGTGGATAGACTGTCGGCCTACAGACTCAAGAGTCCCAGGATCGATTCCAGTCAGGGGCATGTACCTTGGTTGTGGGCACATCTCTGGTAGGGGGTGTGCAAGAGGCAGCTGATTGATGTTTCTCTCTCATTGATGTTTCTAACTATCTCCCTTCCTCTCTGACTGGGAATTGAGCCATGACCTCCTGGTTTATAGGTCGATGCTCAACCACTGAGCAACACTGGCCTGGATGAACTCTTAATTTTTACCTGATCATCTCTTGGTTTTCCCATCTGGGCAGATAGCAACTCCATCCTTCCTGTTGCTCACACCACTACTCAGGTCGTCCTTGACTTTTCTTACCCCCATATCTGATCCAGCACAAATACCACCAGCTTTGCCTTCTAAAGATGCCCCTAATCTGACCCTCGCCACCTCCATGGCCTAAACAGTGAAAAGTTAGTTGAGGCTATCATTCCTTTTGAAGGGCTCACCGTCACCTCAGAGCCACTTCCAGAAAACCTGGGGGTAATATAAATACAATCTGTGGCAATATTTGTTAATTAAACTGTCTTACAGTTCACAAAGAAGCTAAATAACAACAGAAGTATAATTGACCTTAAAATGCTCAGTGAGACTGAGGCTTCACATGAGTTCTGAAGTGTTCTCAGGTGGGAGGCGCTGTCAAAGCCACGGAACGGAGTCTCCTCAGAAAGGCGCCGGCTTCCGGGCTGGTGCTGCGGGTGGACCGCTCATCTCATCGCTAACCAGCTTTGTTCTGTGTTGCAGGATTAAGCCAGCCCCGTACCCCATAGGAAGTAGCCAAGCTCCGTCCAACAGCGGCAGCAGCAACAGCTTTCCTGCCAGCCCCGAAGAGCCCGCCTATGATGGCCCCAGCACCAGCAGTGCCCACTTGGCGCCTGTGGTCAGCACTGTTTCCTACGACCCTAGGAAGCCGACTGTGAAGAGTGAGTGACTGGGGTTTCTGCTCAGATATTTCAAAACTAGTGTTTGAACCCTTTAATGTCGTTACCTGCATCATTTTGTATGGTGGAGGTAGCGTCCGTCTGATGCCTTGCACATACCTGGTCTAAATGTCAGTACACCCTCCCCCTACCCCCCCCCCCCCCCCCCGTTCGTTCATAATGCATGTGTATCTTTCAAACAATGATCATAATGAATGTTCATTTTCACAATCTGCCCTTTTTTTAAATTTAAATGTAAAACGTTCTCCAGGCAATAACAGGGTTCATAACCATTATTGACAACAACATTATAGTTCAACTTATGAAGTTTTTACAACCTTAAAACCCCAGCTTCCAAGTATTTATTTATTTTTATTGTTTAAAGTATTACAAAGAGTTTACATATGTCTCCTTTCTTTTCCCCCATTGACCTTCTCCTGGCCCCAAGTATTTATTTTTTATATCTAGTTGTGTCTGTTCATATTTTATTAATTTGATTACCATAGATCAGTGGTCTGCAAACTCATTAGTCAACAGAGTCAAGTATCAACAGTATAACAATTGAAATTTCTTTTGAGAGCCAAATTTTTAAAACTTATTAACTTCTTCTAACGACACTTCTTCAAAATAGACTCTCTCAGGAAGAGCCACACTCAAGGGGCCAAATTGCCGAATGTGGCTCTCGAGCCGCAGTTTGCCGACCACGACCATAGATGATGCCCAGTATTCTAAGGAGGTGTTCCCAACTTAAAAGCATTATTCTGTCTTCACCTCAGAGCCCATGAGAGAGTAGGAATCCTGGCTTAAGGTTTGGCTGAACGCAGGTTAACTAGTCCTTACGCAGTATTTGCCTTTTAGCTTGTGGTAGGCAGGCCTGTTGCTACACTGGGCAGACGGGTGGGAAGGGAATGTTTTTTGCTGGCTTGGGTGTTATGAGACAGTTAAATTATGGCCTTCAGAGTCTGGATTGAATTCCAGTTCTGCCACTTATTGGGGCAGGTTGGCCAGTGTCTGAGTCTTGGTGAGTTTGTTAGAATTAGAAAGTTATTGTTCCAGGCCTGGCAGGTGCTCAGCAGGTGGTAGCTCTGTGCTGCTGCTTCTGTTGTGATGTTAGCCAACAGCTACTGCTTGCATCCATTTTCCTGGAGGCGCAGGACCAAGAGTGGCAAGACTTTGGCTGATTGTTAACTTCTGGTGTTGTATGTCTAAACTGCCACGGATCTGAAACAGGGGCCTTATTTCTCTTTCCACAGAAATTGCCCCCATGATGGCTAAGACAATTAAAGCTTTCAAGAACAGATTCTCCCGACGATAAACTGAGGACTTGCCTTGGAGAAGGAATTTGGGGGTGAGGAAGACAAGGACAGTGGGGTTGGGGAATGGAACTTCCAAAGGAGACCCAAGTCGTCTGCTTTGTGGCAGCTTTGGTCTCCGAGTCCTGCACAGTCCGCAGGTGTCGCATCTGTGAGCCTGTGCGGCCACTGCCTCCCGCCTGAGAACACTTCAGAACTCTGAAGAAGATGTGAAGCCTCAGTCTCACTGAGCATTTTAAGGTCAATTATACTTCTGTTGTTGTTTAGCTTCTTTGTAAACTATAAGATAGTTTTAATTAATAAATATTGCCCCAGATTGTATTTATATTACCCCCAGGTTTTCTTTTTTTGTTTTTTTGTCCTCTACTACATACTTAGCCTTTATGTTTAGGTCCTTTATTAAAGTTAAACAAAGGCTAATGGAAGCCATTCTCCTATCCCAGTCCAGCTCTCCTGAGTGGACGCTGGTACAGAGGGCGGACTGGGCGTCCCCAGAGCCTGTGTGGCGCCCACTACACACAGGTGAGCAGCGGGCCTGGGCTGCCGGTCCTAGCGGGGCCTCCGCAAGCAGACAGGAGCATCCCGTCAGACCCCTCCCCTCAGACCCTGCTCAGTGTTGCTTTGAGTTCCTCTGCAGGTACAACTCTTTATTATTCATTAAATAGTATTTATTAAGGGAGGTTATTTGTAAAGGTCTAGGGTCTTTCCCCCCATCCTTTTTTGCAGTTCCCAATTATTTTATTTTTATTTTTGAGGCTCACTTGAGGACACAGACCCTCGGGAGACCAATTTGCACAGAATCCCAGCATTTTTACAATTTCCAGTGTCTGATTCAAAACTAGGTTTTTTTCCCCTTCCCTGTTTTTCCTTCTCCCATTGGCATGGGAGAGAAACACAAATACATGGCAGGGCTTTTGGTAGGGTCCCCCACCCCCCAAATACAGCATCAGAATTTTAAAAGCCAGCACTTTAATCTCCGTCTCTATGAATTACTACTAGAAGTGAATGGTTTTAAAAGCTGTAATGCTATGTTGGGAATTTTGTTTTTGCTTTCTTTAAAAGGTAAGATCATGTGATTGAAAGAGCACAACAATTTGCTATGTTTTGTAGAGAACTTTGCAGCTGAAGCTCTCTACTTTTCGAGTGTGTGAGCCAGAATTTGGAGGGAAGGACCAACGTAGCAAAAGTGTCCAAGCTGTAGCCTTGGGGTGGGCGAGACCGCAGGGCATGAGTGTGGTTTGGGAAAGGAGGGCCGCGCTTCTGAGTTTACTAAGGAGCAAGATCAGTGCTCTGCTGTACAGGCGCCTGTGGCGATGTGACCTAAGTATCGCTCTCTTTTAATTTGCTGTTTTTTAACTGGGTGAAACATTATTTCTCTTAATGGATTTTATTTCTCTTGATTGACTGTATTACCATTCCATCCCTATCCCCAAATCTTAGGAATGTTAGGAAGCCTCTTACCTAAAACCAAATGAACATCTGGGTCAGGTGCCTAGAACGGCTTCCTCAAGGTGTCCACCTTCAAGCTGTCTCTTAGCTGTGTGTCCACGTCTGTCATTGAGACCAGTCTTTCACATTTCAGATTCAGTTGTGTATGATTTTATTTTCTTTATTAGGAGTCTTTAGACAGGGAAGGAAAACCCACATTTTCATCCCGACATCACTTCCATAAAGATTTTTAATCACCCCTGTGTGCATAGAGCCAGGTCTTTCCTCCTCCCCTTCCACGCATGTCTGCACCGGGGCTGTGACTTGGTGAGACCAGGAAGGAAGGAAGAGGAGAAGCCCAATTTCTAAATGACCTCCTCGCCTGGGTGCTGGGCATGGCTGCAGAGCAGACATAGGATGACGTCCAACTTTTGGTCTCATTTGTGAAAACGTGTGCAATTTTTTCCCCTGTGCTACACTACATACAAATCAGCAAATTACAAATTAACCCTTTGCGATCGTTGATATAATGAGCAGTTTCTTTAGGGCTTTCTCTTTCTTTCCGGGAAGCGGGAGGGGAAGGAGCAAGTTGTCATCTTGCTCTTCATTTGTATTTTGGTCCCAAAATGTAAATATAATTTTCTATGTTACTTTTTTGTGGTAACTACCAAGATGAATATTTTAATTAGATAAGTTATATGAAATGAAAGAAAAATTCCATGTCTAAATAAAAAACAAACAAAAAATCCCAATCATTGTTGGTCTTTCTCCCTTATTGTGTCAAAGAATGGAAGTTGGTCGCAAAAGGTCTGGTTCCTGGGCTGGATAAGGGGGGATTGGGTTTTTGTCTGCAGCATAGCAGGCTGGGAAAGGGGGGAGAGCCCTGTAAACAAAGGGAGGGACTCAGGTAAAAAGGAACGAGTGGGGACCAGGCACTGTCCTTTGTTATACCGGAGCCCTGGATTAAGCTATTAATCCCATCATAGTTGAAGCTGAGGTTCAGACCATGAAACAGCACAGCCAAAAGCTGCATAGCTAGGAAGTAGCAACAGAAAGGATTTTAAATTCAGATTCTCTGACTGCAAAGAATGCCCCTCCACCTTTTAGTCATTTCTTCTGGGTGTGAAAGACAGCGGTAGGTCTCCTCAGTCCTACACGGCTTCCTAATGAGAACGTAATGAACACTGAAGCGGACAGGTCATGCCAACAAGGAATTAATGAGAACCTATCGTGGCTGAGCTGCTGGAGTTCCAGCAGTTGCTAATGGAGCCAAGGGCTTGGTTTCAGCCCCTGCATGCATCCAGTGAATTGGATCTTACCTTAAACCTGCATCTCACAACAACACAGTTTTACTACCCCTTCTCTCCTAACGAAGGCATTTTGGGTGTATATATAGTCTAGACTTATTTTCTCCAATTCTTGATTGGATCTAATTCTCACTGTTAGAAATTACTATGCATTGAAGTTAATTGTGGAACATGGTAACTGATGGATGACTTTATCCAGAGTTTGTAAGTTAGCCCTTAGTCCCTTATTAATTCAACATTTGCTGAGCCTGGACCTGTATTAGACCCTGGGCTACAGATTAACACAAGTCTGGCACTCAGGTAAGAGTAACTGGCCCTGATGGTTCTGCACTTACTATGTGCCAAGCAGCACCCTGTCTTGTACACATTGTCTCCGTTTTCACAATGATCCCACAGGGTAGGAAGGTGGTCATGGCCCCATTTTAAAAATGAGAAAAGTGAAGCTCGGAGAAATCAGAACTTGCTCAGGGTCACACAATCAGTGAGCAGTGATGCTGTGTGACTCCCAAGCACACATTCTCAGTCACATTTAACTATCTCATAATCAACACACATACCCAACGGAAGGCTTCTGCAGCAAAGCTGACTGCAATGCACAAGATGCCTGGGCCAAGGCCCCAATCGTTTCTAAGAATGATTTCTCTGCTGCACGTAACGGATGCCCAGAAGAATCCTTGGTGTCTGGCTAATTACCTTGACAAATGCCCCTGTCACAGGGCTTCTCCACCAGCATTCCACATCCACTTGTGTCTCTCCCTGGTTATTGGCTAAATGGTGACATAGTTTGTCTTCACAGGTCCACAGATTTCTCTTTCTGTGATGCCTACTGTCTTATTTTTAAAAACTTTAAGGAATATGAGGCAAGTTCAGGTCATCAAGATCATATATAGCTAGCGATACCTGTGTTTCTCAAACAGAGTTTCCGGTTGGCCCCTAAGCTATGCCCAGAAGTGACGTCCATCATTTCTAGCCTATATCACTGGCTGCACCTAAATTCAAGGGGACAGGAAAGGACAGTTCATCCATGGGCCTGGACACAGAATGGATTTGCTAAGAGCACCAAAGACTCCAAGGGCAATCACAGTGCCCTGGATAATCCACAAGGCCACCCAGTCTAGAATCCCACAATTCCTAGAGGTGTGCCTTGAGCAAGTCACTAACCTCTCTGTGGATCAGCCCTGTAGAGCTATCATGCAATGACCTAATGAGTTAAGAAAAACATGTAAAGTGCTTAGAAAAGTACCTGGCATATAAAAAGAGCTCAGGACATGCTAGCCAGGATGCTGGTGATGAATTAGGTGAAGTAGCCAACAGGGAATGAGCATTTATTAAAGGATTGTTGTAACAAGTTCTGAGGGGGGACAAACTTGTGCAAGGTAACCCAAAATACAACATGGCGGTTAAGAACCTGAGCTCCAGAATCTCAACTTGGCATACAGTAAGTACTCAATATATCTTTAAAATTTGTTTTTATTGATTTCAGGGAGAGGGAGAGAAAGAAACGTCTATGATGAGAGAGAATCACTGATCAGCTGCCTCCTACACACCACTTACTGTGGGGATCAAGCCTGAAACCCAGGCACGTGCCCTGATTGGGAATCCTGTAACAGTGACCTGATTCATGGGCCAATGCTCAACCACTGAGCCACACTGGGCCTCAAATTAATTAATATTTGGAGAAGGCTCACTGTGGTAAGAACACAGACTCTGGAGGCCTACTGCCTGTGTTCAAATCCTAGTTCCACTATTAACCAGCTGTGTGACCTCTTGCAAGTTACTTAGCTGTCATGGGCCCTAGTTTTCTCATCTATAAATTGGAGATAATAGGACACTTGTAGTTGTAAAGATTAAAAAATACACGTATAAATAAGGCCCTTTGGACAGTGCTTGACATTAGTACCATTTGCATACTAGCTATTATTATTATATTCTTCAGTTTGCCTCAACAGTGTTTTAGCCTCATTGAGATAAGTGATATGGGAAAATAGATACAAATTCAGTTTTTTGGTGTGTTTTTTTTTAATAATTTATTTTTTTGTTAATCCTTACCCCAAGGATATTTTTCCCATTGGTTTTTAGGGAGAGTAGGAGAGAGAGGGAAAGAGAAATATCAATGTGAGAGAAACACAGTGATTGGTTGCCTCCTGCATGAGCCCCGACCAGGGCCTGAGCCTGGGAGAAGCCTGCAACCAAGGTACGTGCCCTTGACCAGAGTTGAACCTGGGACCCTTTAGTCCACAGGCCAATGCTCTATCCACTGAGCCAAAGTGGCTAGGGCCAAATTCAGTTCTTAAAAAAAAAAAATTAAATTTATTTTAGGGAGAGAAACATTGATTAGCTGCCTCTTGCAAGTGCCCACCCCAACAAGCTGAGCCACACATGCCAAGGCCAAATTCAGTTCTTGAATAAGAAAATGTTTGCAGATGGAGCCTGGAAGTAGGAGAAAGAAAAAAACTCTTCCCACCTGCCCCAGACTAGCCTCAGAAGTCAGTGAGACTCCCATTTGTCTTCAGACAAATAGAGGAGTGCCAACCAAGCAGCAGGCTGAACAACAGGCTAAGGCTGATTCCCAAATCAGCTAAGGGCAGTTTTTTCCAAATTCAGCCTTCTAAGCAATTGCCGTTTTCCATCCAACCAGACGAGGGCGCTGAGTTGAAAGGATTGCTAGGCAATAGCAATAGACAACTATTTAACCTTTTCCCATCAACCCAAACATTTTTTCAGGCATTATCTCATACTACCCTCCTGATAAAACCCTTCAAAGTAGGTACTTTTACTTCCATTTATGTACCTCAAATCTGAAGCTTAGAGAAGCTAAGCAACTTGCCCAGCAGGCCATTCCTAATATTGTGGGACTGGGTAGAGGAAGCATACTTAAAAGGTTATAAATGGAGCTAACAAAATGTGAAATAAAATACTGCCTATTTTGCTGCCTTGACAATGAGCTGGAAGGTCACATTCACATTTCTGAGTCTCATGGAACTCTGTACTAGAAGACAGTGGTGAATGGGGGAGAGCAGGACCCTTGCCCCGCCCCCTTCTCGCCATATTCCTAAATATTTCCCTGCAAGGGGCCTTGTGCACATGAAAGCAGATGTCCTAAGCTGTATGCCCACATTCTGTACTAAGAGTTTCTAAACTGGAAAGGTCCATTAGGTATCCGGCACAAAATGACAGAAAAGCCACAACATCATTTCGTGTCAGAATAGTAGGTTACCAAGAGATCTTAAAGGCTTCTAGAAAGAAACTGAGGGAAACCCAGACAAGGAATCAGAATAACATCCTACTTCTCAAAGCTAGAAGAAAACAGAAATCTCTTCAAAATTTGTAGAGAATTGAATCCTCAGTCAAATTACCAAATAAATATGAGAAGAAGGAAGGTATTTTTAGGAGTCAGTCAACATGTCTGGTGGAGTGGTAGCCACCGCTAAGGTGGCCTCCAGTGATTCTTCCTCCTGGTGTTCACATCCTCTGTGGTTCCCTCACACCTTGAGTATGGCTGACCTGGGACCATGGGATATTGCAGAATTGCCAGTAAGGCTAGGTCACAGAAGACCTTGTGGCCTCCACCTTGCTCTCCCTCGTGTCCTTTGCTCTGCTGAAAGCCAGCCACCATGTCCTGAGGACATTCCAAGGAGAGGTTCATCTAAGGAACTGAGGCCTCTTACCAAGAGCCTGCTCCAACTTGCCAGCCAGCCATGTGGGCGCACCATCCTGGAAGTGGATCTTCCAGCCCCAAACTCTCAGAAGACTTCAGGCTCATGAGAGAGCAGGACCAGAACCACCCAACTAAGCCAGAAATTGTGAAATAGATGTTTTTTTTGTGTATGTGTGTTTTTTAAAGTTTCTTTTTAAAAAAATATATTTTATTGATTTTTTACAGAGAGGAAGGGAGAGAGATAGCTAGAAACGTCGATGAAAGAGAAACATCAACCAGCTGCCTCTTGCACACTCCCTACCGGGGATGTGCCCGCAACCAAGGTGCCCTTGACTGGAATCGAACCTGGGACCTTTCAGTCTGCAGACCGACGCTCTATCCACTGAACCAAACCGGTTTCGGCTGAAATAGATGTTTTAAATTTGGGAGTAATTTGTCACACACCAAAAGATAACTCAGGCACCGCCAACATGGCTCAGTGGTTGAGCATCAACCTATGAACCAGGGCACATGCCCGGTTTGTGGGCTCGATCCCCAGTGTGGACATGCAAGAAGTAGCCGATCAATGATTCTTTTTCAACATTGATGTTTTTATCTCCCTCTCCCTTTCCCTCTCCTTCCCTCTCTAAAAGTCAATATATATATAATTTATTTTATTTTTTAAGAGAACTCAGGTATACTGGGGTGGGCGAAGAAGTCACAGTGTTTTGCAGTTCTTCCACTCAAAGGGTGAAGTCTATCCACCCTTCAATTTGGATTTTGCCAGTGAAACTTGTTTTGGCTGAAGGGACATTAGCAAAAATTATAGAAGCTGAGAGTTAAAAAATGCTTGTGCAATTGGAGCTTCCCTCTCTTGCTCCTGGAACTCTGCAACTGCTGCCATAAGCTCAGGTAGCCTGCTGGAGGCATGTGGCCCATCACCTCAGGTGACAGCCGGTATCAACTGGATCTGTGAGTGAGGCCATTCCAAACTACCTAGCCCAAGCCACCTGGCTCAGAAAAGAACTTCCCAGGCAATCTACAGAATCGTGAGAAATAAGAAATGCTTGTTGTTTAAAGCTTTTAAGTTTTGGGGTGATTTGTTACACAGCATAAACTAACTGATACAATATATCTACTTCCTGCAAATCTTTTGTTTCAGGAAACTATAGGATGTGCTCAAAGCATGGTAGTTCCTTAACTTATCTGGTTTGGGACAAGTTAATTCACCTGTTTCAGCCTCCATTTTCCTCATCTTCAAATTGCAGATAACAGTGGGTAACACTACCTATCTCTTACGAGTTCATGTGACAGATGATTGAGATGAACTACATAATGTGCTCAGCACAATGCCTGGCCCATCATGCTCAATAAATCAGTAAAGGACGGCAAATGACAAAGAAGCCAAAAGGGAGAAGTCCTGCTGAAACAGGTTTGGCTCAGTGGATAGAGCGTCGGCATGTGGACTGTAAGATCCCAGGTTCGATTCCGGGCAAGGGCATGTACCTTAGTTGTGGGCACATCCCCAGTTGGGGGTGTACAAGAGGCAGCTGATCGATGATTCTCTCTCATCGATGTTTCTAACTCTCTCTCCCTCTCTCTTCTTCTCTGTAAAAAAAAAATTAATAAAATATATTAAAAAAAGGGGGGGGGAAGGGGAGATGTCCTCAGTAAGGCATGTTAGTCCTGCAGGGGGACACAATATTTCCAAAGAAAGGCTACTGAGTGTACCATTCAATTAAACATTTCCTAAGCTGCTACCACATGCCAACCCCCTTGCCTGACACTGTGATGTGAAAGCAGGGATAATTCATGATATTGAGCTATGCTGAACCAGGGCCAAGTTTGCCTATTTCACAAGGAATTGAACTAGGACATCAAAATATTTCTGAATGAAACTCCAACATTTTGATATTTTGGTTTGTGTTTCACCAACCTCATCTTGTCTGTATGCTCCAGATCCAGAAGGGAAGAGCAGGGGAAACCCAGCATATCCCGTACCTCTCTCTGCATCCTGCCTCCCCCCACCTCCCCTGCTTTCTCTCCCCCCAAGGCATAAGAACACATTCTATCCTGAAACCAAAACCATTTCAACTCGAAACAGCGGCTGTCAATTATGCTGACGTCAGTCCACAACATGAAAAACATCTTATGCTGCGCCTGGCTGCACAGACCCAAAACGGAAACAAAGTTCCATGAACTGGGACTTAGAATGTGTGATACGTCCTGACTTTCTTATTCTATTCTATTTTACTTTTGGAATAATGGTCCTATTCCTCCACCCTCTAAATGGGCTGAATCCAGCCCTTTGGAACACCCCCCCCCCAAAAAAAAAACCACAAAAAAACAAAAAAACAAAAAACTGCTCTGAATTATCACATGGGGAGGGAACTTCAGGGTCCAGCTCCAGTCCCGGCCCTGCCCTGCCCTGCACAGGGAGGGGGCAGAGCGAGACCCTGAGCCCAAGGCCCCACAGCTGGCAGGTGGCAGTGCCTGGATGTGAATGAAGACTCGGCTCAGCTATGGAATTCTTACCATGTGTCAGCCACCGCGCCGAGTGCGTTGTGTCGTTTAATACTCACTGCGATCCTGTGAAGCAGAAACTGTCATCCCCACTTCACAGAGGAGGAAGCCAAGCCTCGGGATGGGGAAGACGGCCTGTTCAGAGCAGCAGACTCAGGCCTTGCCTTCGGGTCCGGCCCTCCATCGGGCCCGCGCTCTCGCCCGCGGGGCCCACTGCGGAGAAAGTGACGTCTCAGCGCCCGGCGTGCACCTGGGGGCGGCGATAGCGTCGTCCCCCGGCTCTCCGGGGCCTCATCGCCGCGCACGCTCCCCTCCGCCAGCTCCCGACGCGGCGGCGGTAAAAGCACAGCCTCCAGCCTAAGCGGGAGGAGGACTCGGAACGCCGACTTCACGTCCCTGCCCTTCGGTGTCACGTCTGGGAAACCGGGCTAGCCATAGCGTTTGTCTCTATGATTTAAAAAAAAAAAAAAAAAGGCCACAGGAATTCCCAGGCACCTGGAAGCGCGGGCCGGACGTCAATCCTCCCCGAGCCCGCCCCCCGCTCCCTGGACGCATGCGCCGCGCAGGGGCGCCTTTTACGACGCGGCGGCGGCGGCGGCGCGCTTGGCGGCCGCCGGTGCGGAGGGGACGCGGCGCGGACGCCGGCGGCGCCGGGGCTGAGGGAGACGCGCGGGCGGGCGGGCTGCGGCGTCGCCATGTCGCACGGCCACAGCCACGGCGGGGGCGGCTGCCGCTGCGCCGCGGAGCGCGAGGAGCCGCCGGAGCAGCGCGGCCTGGCCTACGGCCTGTACCTGCGCATCGACCTGGAGCGGCTGCAGTGCCTCAACGAGAGCCGCGAGGGCAGCGGCCGCGGCGTCTTCAAGCCGTGGGAGGAGCGGAGCGACCGCTCCAAGGTGGGCCCCCGCGGCCGGGGGCGGCGGGGCGGGGCCGCGCTGTCCGCCTCGTTCCCGGAGTTGGGAACGGCGACAGCCCGGTTGCGAGGCGCTTTCCCGTGCCCATCTTTTGCTAGCCCTTGGGGAGCCCAGCAGGACCGAGCCTCCCCATTTTGCAGATAGAGAAACTGAGGCCCAGACAGGGAAAGGGGCGCAGCCAGCGTTCTGTTCCTGGGCTTCGGTGGGTAGAAAGGGAGGGTGGCCATGAGGTTTGTTTTTTCCCCCCTACCGTTGGACCACTAGTTCCAGTGGCTGCCTGATTATATCCCCTGGAGACCAGCCCAGGGAGGTGAAGCTTGTTACCCCATTCTAGAGCTTTTCCCATTGAAAGTCGTGGGCCGCATTGGCTCAGATCTTTGCGCACAATTTCGGGGGCAAGTAGGCCCTGGCAGTTCATTCATGGGCTCCGCATTAAGAGCCCTTTGATTGGCTGGGCTGTGGCTGTCAGCTTTTTAATATTAAGCGCTGGAAAACCAAAGGGAGGGTAACTAGTTTGCATTTGCACTCTGGTTGTAGAACAGGGTCAGATACCTGCGATTGTAGGCGCTCAGCAAATATTTGTTGCTTTCTCCTCCCTCCTCCCGTCCCCTCCAGTTTGTGGAAAGTGATGCGGACGAAGAGCTTCTGTTTAATATTCCGTAAGTATCTCCTTGGTGCTCGCCTCAGGCCAAACGCCCAGTTGCCTTATCAGGACTCATTCATTGGTTTTATCGAGAACCATCTGTGTCTAGCAGTGGGGTAAATGGCCGTTGGTGGGTTTGAGGAGGAAAAGCGGCATAGGTATCTTGGTGCAGACGAAGCAGATGTATTCGTTGAAAGATAACTGGAAAGTCACGGTAAATGTCTTGGAGCTGCGCAGTGCCAGAGGCAGACAGGATCTCAGGGATGACCTGTACAGGTTGATTCTTGCACTGAAGTCCAGAAAGGGGAAGGGTCTTGCCTGGTGGCAGCCGAGACTCAAACCCAGGTTGACAGCCATCTCTTTTGCGTTCCGGCAGATTTACAGGCAACGTCAAGCTCAAAGGCATCATTATAATGGGAGAGGATGATGACTCACACCCCTCGGAGATGAGACTGTAAGTGTTAAGGGCTCATGTCCCCAAGAAGCTGCTCTCTCTCTTTTCTCTGGTATTTATTCCAGAATACTGTAATTCTTTCTTTTTACGGGCTAAAATATCCCCTCCCTCCTTGAAGTAATGTTAGTCGCGTTCTACATCAGAATATACTTATCTCTTCCTGAATTAACGACTTTTTAAGTTAAGCATCTTTAAGACCAACAGCTTGTCTCTTCTTTTCCTAAGTGCTTCCGTGGCACCACTTACTCAGGGAGATCCTATTAAACGCCAATTGTTGATGACTTAGCAGTTTTCTTAATGACCCAGCTGCAGGTCTCAAATGATTCTACTCTTGCAGTTAGCTTCAAAATTTCCCCTTGCTCTTTCACACAGTTGTATGTAATCTTTCCGTGTGTTTTGCTGACATGGAATCACTCCATTTGAGTCTGTGTGGCCTTTAGTTAGTAAAATTTTATATACCTCTTGGAACACTGGATCTGTTGCCATCAGAGCTGGCAATCCCCCGGTTTTGTTTTGTGTGTGTGTGTGTGTGTGTGTGTCCCTTTTCTTTAAATATGTTTTTATTGATTTTTAGAGAGAGAAATGTCAATGTGAGAACATAACATTGAGCGAGACCACACACATCCCAACGGGATTGAACCCAGGTGGAATCAATCCGACTGGGAATCCAACTGGCTTCCTTTCAGTTCACAAGACAACACTCAAGCAACTGAGCTATCCCGGCCAGGGCTAGTGCTCCCTTTTTAACAACTTGCCTAAAAGAAGAGAAAATTGCTTTTCGAGTATTGAAGAAACAAATACCAGAAGAATTTTACAAAAATTTCTTCTGACCCAGCCGGTGTGGGTCAGTTGAACATTGACCCGTGAATCACAGGTCAGGGCACTTGCCTGGGTTGCATGCTCGATCCCCAGTAGGGGGCAGCAGGAGGCAGATTATTGATGTTCATCTCTCTGCCTCCTTTCCTCTAAAAATCAATAAAAACATTTTTAAAGGGAAATGTATTATTTATTTATTTATTTATTTATTTATTTTAAATATATTTTATTGATTTTGTACAGAGAGGAAGGGAGAGAGATAGAGAGTTAGAAACATCATTGAGAGAGAGTCATCGATCAGCTGCCTCTTGCACACCTCCCACTGGGGATATGCCCGCAACCAAGGTACATGCCCTTGACCGGAATCGAACCCGGGTCCCTTCAGTCCCCAAGCCGACGCTCTATCCATTGAGCCAAACTGGTTTCGGCGGGAAATGTATTTTTTAAATAAAATTGATCAATATAAAACATACTTAAGAAATTAACACTATTTTTTAATGTTAGGAACATGAATTTGAAAGAAACTTCACATATTTAATCATTTTAGGAAAACAGTATGTTTGAGTTAATGCTATGGATAGGATTGAGAAGACTAGACATTCATATACTATGGTTAGGAGTGGGCTCTGGAATAAACTGCTTTGGTTCAAATTCTGTTTGTATCACTTGCTAGCTGCATGACTTTGGTACTTGTCGTCTCTAAACTTCAATTTTCTCATATGTTAAATGGCAGTAGTGATAGTATAAGTCTCATAAGATTGTGGAGAGAATTAAATGGTATAAAACATGTAGAGCTTAGAGTGAGTCATTCATCAATTGTGTGCCTCATGCACCCTGACCAGGAATTGAACCTGCAACCTAGGTGTGTGCCAGGTTGGTATGTGGGACAATGCTCCAATCAACTGAGTCCTGTTAGTGAAATTTGGACACAAAAAATGCTTGAGCAGTGGGTTGCCTGATCTTACCTCTTAACTGTTCAATATGTTTCTGCCAACATGTTTCTGCCAAAGTATTTCCCCTCATGAGTAAGCTGTTTTATTGGAACATCCTCGGCATGGTCTGAATGCGCTGAGTCACTTATTTTCTCCATGCTTTGGCTGCATGTGACCTAGTTTGAGCCATCTCTTTGTGGATGCTTCTCATGTGATCCTAACCCACTCAAAGATGCCATTGGCGTACGTTGCAGTTTTCAGCTCTTGTCGGATTAAGGTATTTGTGAAAAAATGCCATTTCCAAAATTTGATCTCTTTTTGGTAGAACTGAAGGCAGTTGTCGGTAGTAAGTTTTGAAAAACTAAAAAATCTGGTGATTCACATTTCTTTATTTCCTTTCCTTTCTCAGGTATAAGAACATTCCACAGATGTCCTTTGATGACACGGACAGGGAGCCAGATCAGACCTTTAGTTTGAACCGGGATCTTACAGGAGAATTAGAATATGCTACAAAGTAAGCACTGGGCCCATCTTCCATTCTCTGTGGCTTCTTTTCTTTTTGAATTTTAAGCTTTATTTATTTTTAAAATTGAACTTATTAGAGCGACCTTGGTTAATGAAATTATACAGGTTTCAGATGTTCTGTGGCTTCTGAGGCGCTCCCTCATTTACAATGAGCACATGTGCATTAGTGTTTGCTGGGCTTGCAATTTAGTTTTGGCCCGTCTCCTGCTCGCTTAACATCAGAAACAGGTTAAAACAGTGGAGGAGATTTGATCCTTGGCTTGGTCGATTTTTGGCAGAGATTCGATGCAAGCCACGGATTTGTTAACTTGTAAGCAATTGGCAGATCTGAATGAGCTCCTAGATTGGCCTTAGGAAAGATGATTTCAGAATTCCTCTGAGCACAGTTGGCTTATAACAGGTCAAGTTACATGTGACCATCTTATTTCCTAAGGGGAGGTTAGCATTGAACTCGCGTTATCATCTCTGGTTGGTCATACAGCATTTTTTTTTTCTTTTTTTAAAATTTATTGATTTTTTTACAGAGAGCAAGGGAGAGGGATAGAGAGTTGAAACATCGATGAGAAACATTGATCAGCTGCCTCCTGCACACCTCCTACTGGAGATGTGCCCACAACCAAGGTACATGCCCTTGACCGGAATCGAACCTGCAGTTCTGTAGGCCGACACTCTATCCATTGAGCCAAACTGGTCAGGGCAGCATTTCTTAATCCTGCCCTTTGAGGACAGGGGCAGTGTTGGTTCACTTTTCTATCCCTATTGCCTTAGGATCTGGCAAATACGAGATAAATGTTCACTGAATTAATTGCTTGTCCAAAGGAGAAGAATGAGACATAAGACCCCAAGAATGTTCTGTGACATTTGCCTAGGTTTTACCACAAGTTAGAGCTGGAATTGTTGTTTTTAACATTGAGGTGAGATGCTAATTGAACTCTAACCTATGTCTTCTCTCCCCACTCCTTCATCCTTTAGAATATCTCGTTTTTCAAGTGTCTATCATCTCTCAATTCATATTTCAAAAAACTTTGGGGCAGATACCACAAAGGTCTTGTATATTGGCCTGAGAGGAGAATGGACTGAGGTAAGATGGGACAGGAAACGTAGCCCTCTTCAATATGTGTACACACGTGTACATATCTTCATGATGTGGTAGGGAGAGCTTTAAGGAAAAAGAGCAAATTGAGACATTGATTGCTCTCAGTCTGTTTATAATTTTTCTTGGTTTCATCACTTAAACTGCCTTTGTCATTTGAGAGGCTACATAGATAGATATTTTTAAGAGGGTTGAAGTAATACTATTGATATCAATTTCATTTTTCAGTTTAAAATTGTTTCAAATTTTTTTTTTTGTTCAACATTTTTAGTATATTATGTGCTAAAGAAAGCATTCATTCAACATTTCTGAGAGTCTTTCTTGTTCCAGGCAGCAGAGATAAAATGATAAACAAGATAGAGAAGGTCCTTTTTCTCAGGGTGCCTCCAGTATAGTGGGGGAATGAATCTTCTTAGTTATGGGGTGAATTATTGATAATGATCTTTGCATCCTTCTCAAGATAAAAAGTGTCAGAACGGGGAAGAGATTAGATGATGGCTTCTAGAAATGGACCTGAATAAGGACTACTGCACTGTGTCATCTGGGAAGTAGCCAGCTGACCTAGCATCTCAATTTTCTTGCAGTTTCGCCGACATGAGGTAACCATCTGCAATTATGAAGCATCGGCCAACCCAGCAGACCACAAGGTCCATCAGGTTACCCCACAGACACACTTCATTTCCTAGGGGCTGGCCAAGGCTCCACAGAGGCTCTGTGTCAGTGAAGATGTATGACAGCCTTTTGGGAAGGTCAGAGAGATGGGGCTCCAGAGGGAGTTGACTGCCACAGCCTCTGCCAAGCTTTGTCGTTGGGGCTTACTGCAGAAACCTGGCCTGCGGGCGACACCACACCACCGGGAGGGTTGTGTGGGCGCCAGGGGACAATCATGGTTCTCTAGGGCCCTGTAGGAATTGGGTCTTGGTTTGGCCAGTATCTGGCAGTCATGGATAATGCCTGCCTTTCCAGTCAGTGTGGCCATGGGATTTCAAGTGTCTTACTTTGTGGCAGGATTTTTGTGTGACTTTTTTTTTTTTTTCCTTCAATGACAACTATTCCTGGGTTGCAGTAAACTTTCTGAAGCCTCAGCATTGTGTTCGTATTAGCCATCAGGAAGGTCTCCAATTAGAAATACTTGTCCCTGCTTGCTCCTTCTCCTTGTCATCATTTAGCATTCTTGTCAAGTTGCTCAGCTTGAAGTTGTCTGTCATGCACTAGTGTGCCATGGTTATAGCTGGATGAGCAGGACTCTCCTGATGATGCTTAATTAATAGCTTGAGGAGAAGGTCGTCTTTCCTGCTGCCTAGGTAAGCAGTCTGGGAAGAGCATGGGCATCTCATTTCTATGTTTGTGGGTACCTGGCCCAGGTAAGATTGGGCCTTAGGTAAGGTTCCCTCGGGACATCCTCAGTGTCTATTAGCTTCTAGCTAGTGTTGTAAGGCAAGTGCCAGAATTTGGAGATCTCAGTTCTTGTCATGGCTTTTTATTCACTGTGACTAAGCTTCCTAATAAATCCTTGCCAAACTTCTTGATTGTGTCTTTTGAGTTTTTGTAGTACTGATGAAACTTTTATTTTACTGGGAACTGTATATAACTTTAAAATTTGTTGTTTTGGACCAAGTAGATAAAAATGCTACAGTTATATCAAGACTAGATCAGCTTTTCCAGGAAAGGTCGAGCTAATTTTGTACAGTAGACTAAAAACATTCCTGTACCACCGACCCATTAAACATTTTGTAAAGAAGATGAGATTAACCTTTATTCCATTTCTCATGAAAGAAAATTGTGTAAATGAGGGAGAACAGCTTCTGGAGTTCAGAAGAAATGAGGGCAAGGAAAGTAAGGTGGACCCAAGACTTTGGACTTAACATTTGAAACTGAAGAGAGAATTGCCATTGGAGAGAATTGAAGTTATCTACAAAGAGGATTTCAAATGTTCAGTATTCTCTCACTTACAGAAAGTAGAGAGAACTGTATATAACTGAAATTTGTTGTTTTGGACCAAGTAGATAAAAATGCTACAGTGATATCAATACAGTTGCTCATGGGAATTAGTATTGAACCTGATCCATTCCTCTAGGACAGGGTTAGAGAACCTTTTTTTCTGCCAGGGGCTATGTGGGTATTGCAATCATTCATGGGCCATACAAAGTTATCAACTTAAAAATTAGCCTCTGTATTTGGTCAAACAACTCGCCCCTAATGCCTTTGCAGGGCCAGATTTCTCAGGCCTTATACAGCCTGCAGGCCAGACATTCCCCACCCTTGCTCTTGGGTTTTGGCCCACACTATTAGGATATACCCACTGTTTACCCAGGCTATCCTATGTAAAGCCTGCCACCAATAAACTTTGTCGAGCCTCAACATTTCTAAAATACCGCCTGAAACCAACCAGGAGCAAATGCAATTATTTATGAACTAAGGGTCCTACTCCTCAGTTGTATCGTTTTGAAGATAAAAGACTGCTTTAATTTGGAGTAGGGGTGTCGAACTCAATCAGAGAAGGGGCCAAAATCTAAAATCCAGCCTAAATCGCGGGCCGAATGGTTTACTGAACAGTCATAAACTGTCATTGTGATGGAAACGCAGCGGAGTGCAGTGATGACAGCCCGGTGCCGGCCACATTGCAAGGCCTGGCGGGACGGATTTGGCCCTCGGGCCTTGTGTTTGACACATGTGGAGTAGGGAGAAACAACATGAGAAGTCTTAGGACAAGATAGCCCTTCATTAATCCACTAATTAAAGCACAATCACAGCCATAACCGGTTTGGCTCAGTGGATAGAGCGTTGGCCTACAGACTGAAGGGTCCCAGGTTCGATTCCGGTCAAGGGCATGTACCTTGGTTGCGGGCACATCCCCAGTGGGGAATGTACAGGAGGCAGCTGATCAATGTTTCTCTCCCATCGATGTTTCTAACTCTATCCCTCACCCTTCCTCTCTGTGAAAAATCAATAAAATATATTTTAAAATAAATACAAAAATATAGTACAATCACAGCCTCTGAATTTGAGATTTCTCTCGGAAGAATTTGATCAAAGAGCCACAGTGTGTCAGGTGATGAGTGTGGAAGGAATTGTTCCTTCTTTCATAACATCCGGTCGGGATTCCATTGAGAGTGGGAGTAGCTGTGTAGTCTTCATCCACTCATCCCCTTTCTGGTCCTGGGTCCTTGGCTTGCTGTGGTCCTCTGGACCTGAAGCTTGTCTGCTCCGGGGAATCCTGGTATTTTAGGTTGTCTCTGTGACCTGTTGAGCACTTAGACCAAACTGCCTCTTACCCTGGGAGAAAATGCTTGGCTGAGCTTCCAAGTTTACTGGTGTGTATGTGTGTTTCAGTTCAAAGAAAAAATAGTGTAGGTATTGCTGAAAGGAGTCCTAAGCTGCTGAGGGCTGAGCACCACTCATTGTTTACAGATGGCCACATGTTCTCTCAGGGACATCCTTCAACTCAGCTTTTCCGTGGACCCTGACCCCCATTTCCACGTCACCAGTGCAGCAAGGAGCAAAGGGTGACTCATTGGTACCCAAAGGAAGCCCTTTTTGTCGTTAATAATGAGCTCAGTGATGGTGGTATTTTGTGCTAAGACAACCCTGCCGAGGCCTGTCCAGCTGTCCTGCTGTGACCTGTGTCCTTTTCCCAGGGTCCTTTTAAGAGCCATTAGGCCTCACACTGATTTTATGATGTATTAAGCGTTTCTCATTTGAGCCTACCAGCAAAGCTGTGAAGTTGGCAGGGTGGTGATTATCACCATTTTACAGCCCAGAAAGCAGCACAGAGTATCATCCTGAGTTTGCTGCTTGCTTCCGCTCCCTGGGCCTCAGTTTCCTCGTTTTAAAAATAAGACTGGAGGACTAGAAGGTCTTTTAAGGATTCCACCCACGATCCTGGGCTGGGGCAGGAAAGCTTGCGGTGGACAGCCCAGACCAGCCTGAAGGGTGGACCGCGGGCGCGGCCGGCGCGGGGCGGCGGGGAAACTTCCTGCTCCGGTGCGGAGCGCCTCTCCTTCCGGACAGCTTCCCTCCGGGGGGCGCCTGGGCGGCGGCGGCAGCCAAGGGGTGCCCGGACACACAGTCTGAATTCTCCAGGTGACGGCGGGCTGAGCTGGGCTGAGCTGCGGGGAGTGGCCCCGGGCACCTAGCAGGGCGGCTCCTGTCTGGGGATGACGCCCCGCCGCCCACTTCCGGGTTCCGTACCCCTGGCCAGGCTACTTCCGGTACCGCGATGGCCGGGTTCCCGGGACGCCAACGGAAGTTCCGGCGGGGGCGGTGGAGGGGGAAGAGTGTGTGTGTGAGCCGGAGCAGGAGGAGGACCGCCCGAGAGGTCTCCTAGCCCCCAGGGAGTGAAGGTACCGGTCCGGGCCAGCGGGCGGAGGAAGGGCGCTGGGCGGGGGCGGCGGGGAGCGGGCCCTGGGGTCCGGGGAGAGGGGAGGCGGCCGGGCTGTGAGATGGGGGCGGGGAGTGCGGCGCGGAGAGGCGCTGGCCAGGCTGGGGACTTGGAGGATGACGAGCGGTGAGAAGTGGCGTCCGCGTGTGACCAGAGGGACTTTTAAGGTCGGAAGTGAGAGATCCCATTGTAAGGCGGGGGCTCCCCACGGTCCGAGGTAAAGCGGCCCTTTGTGGGCAGGAGCGGGTCCCGGGTCGGGGCAGAAATTGTCCCTGGAGGGCGGGGGCCACCCTCGTTCAGAACGGAAGTTCTCACTGCGGGGAGTGGGAACCCCTGGGACGGGGTGGAAGTTTTTAGAGGAGGGAGGGAGGGAGGGAGACCCCAGGCCGGGGTGGGGTGGGGGGTGGGGCTCCGACCTGAGACGGGAGGACTCCGGGGTGAGAGGTGGGAGGGAACCCCAGTTTAGGGTGAAAGGTGTGTGCAGAGGGCACCGAGTGGAGGGAAGGGCAGGCACTTGGGGGCAGGTGGCAGAAGCTTCTGGGGAGTCGGGAGGATGCTCAGGGCGATGAGGAGCCAGCCTGGCATTCTTGTGTGTGTCTGGCGGTCTCAGAGCGCTGGGGGTCAAGCCGGGGGACCCTTTTGGGGTCGGTGGGCAGCAGCGTCAGGTTGCCCTGTTCAGGGGAGCGTGGAGCACCAGTTAGAGGCGGGTGGTGGGCCGGAGTCTGTGTGCCTTGGGGGGCAGGGCAGCCCCCCAGGGGCTCTGGAAATGGCCAAGCCAGAAACTGCTGTGAAGGCTAGGGGGGAGGGAGGTTGGAGAGAATATGGGGGGTCCTGGGGAATAGGGGCTGGAAGCTTATTTCCCTGGCTTCCCCCCCCCCCCTCGGAGGGCAAGGAGTTGGGGAGGAAGGGCCTCGGGCGCTAGAGGAGGGGACGATTGGAGAGCCCTAAGAAGGCTGAGGACTGTTAGTGGGGAAAGGCTGCAGGGGAAATCCCTGCTCCCACAGCCCCCAAGCCCAGCCTTTGCCCATCCCTAGCAAGCTCAGGCTGTGAGGTGGCCAGAACCAGGGGCACTAGAGGGGGCACCTCCGCTTCTCATCCTTAGAACAGAGGCAAACGTCCTACCTGCTCCAACCCAGGACGTCCCCGCCGTTCTCAGTGCTCAGGACAGAACCGTGGGTGCCGTGTGGGGCCGATGGCCTGAGAGGGCCCCGGGTTTGAGGCTCTGCCCTGTGCCAGGAGTCTGTCCGCTGCCTGAGCTTGCTCTTGACGGCCCCCCTGAATTTGCACAGGCCCCAGCCTGGAGCCCTGCAGTGTATGTGTGGTAACACCATGTCTGTGCCCCTGCTCACCGATGCTGCCACCGTGTCTGGAGCTGAGCGGGAAACGGCTGCGGTAAGGGGCCTCCCGCACCCACGGCGGCTCCCGGGCCCTGGGGAACTGGCTGGAGGGGGCGTGGGAAAAATGGAGGTGGTGGTGATGAGAAGGGAGAAGTTTGCAGGTGGGGGGCTGGGTAATAACCTGTTTGGCTGCTCCCTCGGCTCCCCCAGGGGGGAGGGGGAGGAGTGGCCAGAAGTTGGACAGTAAGGAATGGTAGCATGATGACCACTACCCTCTGCCCCATCTGTCCACCTCTGATCCTTTTCCAGGTTATTTTCTTACATGGACTTGGAGACACAGGGTGAGTGAGCCGGGGAGTGGGAGTGCCCAGGGGAGATGGGGACGGTCCAGCTGGCAGGGCCAGAGAGGCCTGTGCGCCTTCCCTTTCTCCATCTCCCATCAGGGCCTTTTCTTCCCTCCCTCCCTCCCACAGGCACAGTTGGGCTGACGCCCTCTCCACCATCCGGCTCCCTCACGTCAAGTACATCTGTCCCCATGCGTGAGTGTCACTCTAGCCAGGGAGGGGCTGAGGGGGGAGTCAGCTGGGGGGGTGATTCTGTGGTCCTAGGTCTGTCCTCTCCCGCCCGCGGCATCCTGGGGCCTGGGCGGGAAGTGCCATTTTCAGCCTTCACTCCTGTGGAGCCCCCAGGACTGGAGTCCAGCCCCAGCCCTCAGCCCAAGGCCTCCCAGACCTGAGATCTCCTAGACCCAGGACCCCCTGTTCCCCTTCCCCAAGTACTCACCCGCTGGGCTGGAATCCCGGCAA